CTTTTGCCCACCCCCTCAACTACAGATGTTCTCTCCCTTCTTTGAACCCTGTAATTCTTTCCTTCCCTTCACTGTCCATTTTTTTCCATCTCCCCCTGCCTTATTCAAATATGCAAGCATGAGCTAATCTATGGACACTGAGAGGAGATGGTCTTTCATGAAGACTTACTTAAGGGGAAGGAGATAAACAGACACTTGAGCACTGTGGTAAATGCTAAGTAAGCAATTACACATAAAGAGCCACAGAATAAACATGACTTAACCTCGCTCTGCAGAACAAGTTAGTAGTAGGTATTAAGCACCTTAAAAATAGAAAATAGGTCTCGTTAATCTTTTATTCTTCTTTATTCCTAACAAAGTGTTCTATGTAGAATATCATCTCTATAAAGATTGCTGTTTAATGAAACTTAATTGCTTCAGAATCTGATCAGAAGCCTCTTTTCAGATTTAGAAAGGGACACCTTCTGAATAAATTGGTGACCCAATGGAATAGCCAGAACAGCCTGTTACAGCTTGTTGCTCTATCTCCAGTCCTTTTCAGTTCCTTATTCTCAGTGTGTCCATAGAGTAGCTCAGAATATGACTATTTTTCCAAGACACTAAAGGATATGCTCCTGCAAGTAAATATATGTATTATATGCATACAATATACATAAATACAACCTTATTTATATATAGGTTATTATATAACCAAATATAACATAGTTGGAATTATAACATGGTTGGTGTGAGTTCAACCATGAGAGCAACATTTTTAAAAATTCAAGTTCAACAAGAGGAACTCTCGGTCCTTCTTTTTTCTTATTCATTCCTAAATCAGGTGCTGCACTGTCGTCTACAAGTAATATCAACCTCAACATTACATTCAAATGGATTCATAATCTCTATTTTTAGACAGCTCCCCTCCATATGTTGTTACATATAACATACACATTTACTGTGTAATATGTATGTATGTATGCACACATATACCTACGCGTATGTATGGACATATATGTACATGCATGTGTGTGTGTTTAATATGTACAGACCAACATAGACATATTTATGAAGTCTACGCATTCCAAGGAAGAGAATGGAGAAAAACCAAAAGCGAAATCCCAATAAGGTCTGACTTATTTGTGTACAGGATAGATTCCTTCCTCCCTGCATAACCTGAAATTTTTACTTTAAAAATATCCAAGCTAAGAGAAACCCCTTGCAGACTTACTATATATATATATATATATTTATATAAAAAAGCTTGGTTAAAACTTCTGAGTCATTTACAAGATTAAGATGAATTAGTTCCACTAGATTGTTTTTCTCAACATCTAGATGAGATATGCTATATACTAGAAGGGAATAAAAGGCTCAAATGGGAAATGGGGACAAAAGGAAACTGTAAGTCTACAGACAAAAAACTACATTTAAAGCCTGTATGTGTAGGATAGTGTAGCTTGAAAGAAACCTGTTAGAAGGATTAAATGGTTGTACTTAAAGTTGAAACTGAAAAGATTTATTAAAAAATTTTTTGGCTTAGGGAAGGATGAGCTTCTAGGAAATGAATTATTTTTAAATTTCCCACTTGTTCCATTACTAAGTTTAACGGAATAACTCATACTATTGTACAAGTTATTGAACATGTCACATCAGAAGGAAATTTGCATTTAATATAATAATTACTATTCTACTACTACTCAAAAAGTGATTAAGTATAGTTCAGTTATATTTCATGAGTTACTTAAGATTACAGGGTTGACCTAGATATTAATTCTCGTGTGTTTCAAGTTCCAAAAGAGGTACGTTTAGTAAGAAGCATGTGGTGATACTTTTTTTTTTCTTTTTTTGCGCTGGAGATTGAATCCAGGGGCCTAACGCAAATAAAATACATACTATTGAGCTACATCTCTGGCCCCATAGATGTTAAGTCAAAAACATTTCAGGTCTTATTACCCTCATAGCTATGAATTTAAACATATAGCTTCTAATAAATTAATAGTAATTTGAGAAACTTAAACTGTTCTCCCCTATTTATTCTTCTCTGAATTCTGAATATAGCTGGAAAAAATGTAGAGACCCTCTTAAAATTTATTCAAAGTGTTCAGTGGAAAAGTACTCATGTAAAGAATTCAATATTTAGAAAAAGGTAAATCAGATCCACTGGCTATTAAACAACTATGCATTAATTTAATACCAATATGCACAAACTAGCATTTCATATAATGGCTAGAAATTGTTCAAACATTCAAAAGTCAAGTCATTCAACAATCATTAAGAGCACTTAGCACAATGTATAAATTTTATCTTTTCAAAAGTTTCTTTGTAAGAATTAACATCCCATGAAAATTAATGTGCAGACCCCTGAATACAATGTATTGGGAAATGACAAACTATTTGAAAACTTAATGTTATGTTTTAGCTGTGAGAATTCTCACAAGAAGAGGATTAATGCTCACCACCTCACACAGACACACACACACCAACTTTTAGAATTTCCCACTTGTTCCATTATTAAGTTTAGGGGAAAAATTCATACTATTGTACAAGTTATTGAACATGTCACATTAGAAATGAAATTTTCATTTAATAACCAACCGTACTACTCTTCCTTCTACTATTCAAAGCATTAAATTAGCAGCTCAGGTAAAAATAAATCCAAAGGAGGGAGAAACCATGTAAGATGCTCAGACATGGTTTAATCAATTCCACAATAAAACTGCATAGACAAGGTAGGTAACACATTAGCATCGTCTGAAACTGTCAAATGATCACTTCCATGAAAACAACACAAACATATAGTGGTTCTGGGATATCCAAAATGGAGTTTCATACACAAAGGTAAATTTTAGACTTTTTCATTTCTAAAAGTGCACACAAATGGCAACAACAAATAACAAAAAATGACAATGACAATACAGGCTTATGACTGGCACATCACCATGGAATAGACGAGCCCTAAGTTTTAGGACAATTTTAACCCAAGTATAAGGTTATAGAAATAAAAATCTGACATACTGTGCTTCCATCCAACCCTCATTTATATATATATATATTTTTTTCAAGGCTTCCACAGTGCGAATCCCCAAAGCCTTCAATGATAAATCAATATTTTCAAAGGATTAAAAGAATAACAAGAATTAAAATATATTTTTTCTTATAAGGCAATGGATGTTAATTACTAGTCATAAAAAATGTTTTAGTTTGGCTAACATTATGTAAGTGTGTTAATTTTGATATGAGAAAATATTAGCCATATAAACTTGTAGGACATGTAAATTCACTAAATTTCTCTCCAGCATCTATACTATTCCTAAGGACTTTGACATCTAAATTACACCCATTTAAGCAGATGAAATGAAAATCTACACTGCCTACTGTTACAAAGATACATTTACATATAACAGGAGATCACCCGAGCCAGAAAATTTCTTTTCCAATGTGATGACACATTATCTTTAGTGGAAAAGTTTTAAAAAAATTATGTATCTTCCAATGATTTCTTGAAATTGCTGTTATTGAAGACCATCATGTTCCAATATCTAAATCCAAAACAGAAATAAGGAAGACTGACCTGACAGGCAAATTCAAATTCTCAACAGTATCTTTACTAGCAGTTAATACTTAGGACAAAATCCAATAAAAGAACAGTAGTACATGTCTTGAATATATAAATGAGGAGGAAAAGAAAGGACACTTCTGAATCTGAGAGGCAAGGGCAGTTCAACTGGATCAGAAGCAGCGATTTCAGGTCTTCAGAAAGACATCCTCCACCCAGAACACAAATGCAAATCCTAGGGTATCCTATCTTCCCCAATATTCTTGAGACCCGCACATAACATACGAACATCACAACTGTTTATGTCATAAATGGGGAAAAAAAAAACAGCCTCAAAAATGAAAACCTAAGAAGGTAATTCAATGAGTGTACACTTTTCTAACAAAACAGCTAAGCAATTCGTATGTGACTAATCTATTTTACATTCGGTTCCTCTGCTCCTATGCAATCTAATATTGCCTATTAAGACTGCCAAAATATTTTTTAAACAAGATCTGAGAATTTCCCCCTCAGCTTCTGATCTTTGTACTCCTTTAGAGTTGGCACACACGTCACTGTCACTGGCAAACCAACTGGTAGTGACAAGTTACTACAAACTGGCTCTTTGGGATGAAATGGTAAATTAAACGGTCACCCTCAAAATTTTCCAAGCGGCCAGTATCTTTCAGGGAACAAAGGATCAGCATATGCAAACCTATGATCCTTCCTGCTGGAAAACTTGCTCTGCAGAATCTCCCCACATAATCCAACTCTACTCGGCTTCTCCCCAAGATTCTGCAACATTGAGGCTTACTTAAGCGGCACACGTCTCCTATCTCGTGCACCTCGAGATGGCAGATGGCAAATATCTGGTAGTCTCTCAACCTTTCTCCCCGACAAGAGTCCCCCCTCGGCATCCCAGGCTTCACGATCCCACATGCTGTCTGCCCACTGGACCTTAAAGGCAACAATGAGAGACTCGGGCTTCCCGGCACCTCGGTGCCAAGTTTCTGAAAGCCGCTTCCAAGCAAAACTCTTCTTCCACTTTGAGGAAGCAAAAACTAGGTTCGGAAGGGAGGAGGACGCTAAGGCAGAAAATTCAGACGTGCAGATCGCACTTTTTTGAAGTAAACAAACGGAATCTGCAACCTCCCCCCGCCCCACCCCCAGCCCGGCGAAGGTGGCTTTAAAGCCGCGGGGCCGCCCCGCGCCCCGGCCCGCACACCACCTCCTGGCCCCCGAGGGCGCCCGCCACGACCCCGGCCCGTTAGGAGAGTGGACGCGGCGGCCGCCCCGCTCCCCCCGGAGCCCGGCCGCGTCCCCGCCCCGCCACACCGCTCCCCGCGGAGTCGCCCACTCCAGCCCCAGGCCGCCCTCTCCTTCCGGCAGCGGCCGCGTGGGGCCCGCTCCCGCCTGCCCGGTCGCCGCCCCCGGGGGCCCGCGCGGCCCGGGGGCCGCGGCCGTCGGAGCCTGGGGTACGTACTCGGCCGGCGGCTGCAGCGGTCTGGGCGCGCGCTCCCCGAGGACTGCTCAGCCCCAACTCCGAAGTGGCGGCCCCCAGCTCTCCCTCCTCAGGCGGCTGCGGCGGCCGGGACGCCCCCGCTCCCATCGAGGGGGGGAGGGAACGCGGTGGGCGCGCTCTCCCGGTCCTCCCCCCACGCTCCTCCAACACCACCCGAGGCTGGGGCCCGCCCGCCCCGACGGCGCTCGCGCGGGGCCGAGGCGGTGACGGCTGCAGCTGCTCGCAGGCTCGGGCGCGCGGGCGGCGGCGGCGGCGGCACCTCCCCCGCCGCGTCCGCCCTCCGCGCGGGCCTCACCCCGCCCCCGGCGCGCGCGCAGCCCCGCCGCCTCCCCCGCCGTCCGCCTCCGCCTCCCCACCCCACCCCCCCGCGCTGTCACGCTGGGAGATTCCGCGCTTGCTACAGTCGCCGCGCCGGCTCCCGCCCCCGTGCGGCCGAGTGACGCAACCCCGGCGTGGGCCGCCGCGGGCGGGGGCGCGGGCGGGGGCGCAGCCGCCGAGGCTCGGCTTCCCCTCCACCCCCTCCCTCCCTTCCTCCCTCCCTCCCTCCGTCCCCGGAATCCGGAGCGCGGCCCATTCACACGGCAGCTGGGAGGAACCAAGTGGGCGCCCGGAGGGGGCGGCTCCCGTGAGTCGGGGGGGGGGGGCGGGGGCCGGGGCGGAGGCGAGGAGGCGCGGGCGCCGCCGGGGCCTGCTTCCCCGCCGGGGAGGGCGCTGGGCAGGCTGCTACGATCCGTGTGTGAGTGTGCGCGATATCCCCAATACAGTATTTCAAAGAACAGCCCCCGCCGAGCCCACGCAGCCGCGTGGGGGTGGGGGGGCGGAGTCAGCCCACCCGCGCCGGGCAGGGCCGCCGGTGGGCAGCCAGGTGGGCCAGGTGCTGCGGGCCTGGCGTCCGGCGGGAAGTTGCTGCCCGCGCGCGGAGGAGGGGCGGCAGGTGCGCGGCGCGGGAAGAACTCGCCCCCCCCCCAGTCCCTCGCCCCTCCACCGCCTCGGCTTTGGCGGAGGAGGGCGGGGAGGACGAAGGGAGGAAACCACCAAACCTGAGGTGCAACTCTCAGGCCTGACGAACCTCTCGTTTCGTCGGGTCATTTAATTCCAGACCTTTTCGCCTTCTCAGAAGTCTGCCTGTAATTTTACTAGTGAATGCTTTCTATTTCACCAGGTGTACACAAACGGTGCTGGTACTCACTGCCTTGGTGTATGCCAAAGTAAGAGTTCCCAAGGCACAATTTAGAGTCTTGTTTTCCAGCTGGGTTTGCATTAACTTTTCTATCCAGAGAAAGTATCAAAACACCTCCAGAAATGTTCTTAAGCTATTGCCAGAAATCTTGAGGAAAAAGTCTTAAAAATCTGTTTTTCTTTCTTTTTTTTTTTTTTTGATAATTAAGAAAAAGGGCATTCCAAGTTTAATGTTGGGTTCCTAAAGCATTGAGGACATTAATACAGAACTACTGCAATACAGGTAGAATCCTGTTTCAACATACATAATAAAATCTAGTTTTATATAGGAGGCAGTTCCCACATTCTGGCTGGCCTCCCAGAGTGTGCCTACTTTGCTGATGGGGTTACATTACAAGGCATTCTTTGAGATGAGAAATTCTGCAAACCACATCTTTATGTTGCAGCTAGGGACGAGATGATGATTTTGAAAGAAAAAGACATCATTAAAGCACTGGGCCTTTCTCCCCACTTCCCCTTCTTTTTTGCAAAAGCCAGCAGGAATGAGTAATGTCACAATGGAAAATGTCTTTAGCATTAAGGTTGCATCTTTTTTTTTTTTTTTTTGGGTCCGGTCATGGGGCCTGAACTCTGGGCCTGGGCGCTGTCCCTCAGCTCTTCAGCTCAAGGCTAGCGCTCTACCACTTGAGCCACAGCACCACTTCCGGCTTTTTTCTTTTTGCTTATATGGTGCTGAGGAATCCAACCCAGGGCCTCTGGCATGCAAGGCATGCGCTCTACCACTGAGCCACCTTCCCAGCCCTTAAGGTTGCATCTTTTAAGTGTTAGTGACAAGGTCTGTTTGTTGTAGTTATGGTGATACTTCCAATAAGTGAGTATGTTTACTTCCTGAAACTATTCTTTTAATAAAAGAAACTTCTGCTGGAATTTTCTCTAACGTTTCTAATTGTCAAGGTTTTTGCAGCTCTAAAACCTGTTCTGCTAAAGAGAAAGCAAATTTAAATTATTACAGTTCAATAAAGTCTTGAAGCAATTTGTCGGTTGATTGGGAAAGACAGAGGTTAAATGAACCTTCAAGCAAAGAGATCTGCAAACTTCTCTTTTTTTCATCCAGATGATTTGCAAGCACTACTGTGAACAACTAGGGAATAAAGAACTTTCATAATGATGTTCAATCGATGATTCATGAATTAGGCAATGAGTGGTATTACCTGCACTGTTGAGCCGTCCCCTGCAATTGTTTCCAGAGTTAGAATTGATATTACAAGCTTTCCCTAAGCTTGTAGACAATGCCTCTGAATGTGATGCTGAAAAAGGAAATGTGTCAAGGTAGAAACTCTCCTCCGACTTTAACTGGTTGTTTCTTTCTACAGTTAAACACTGAGATCTTTCCTTGTTTGTTTTCTGGGAACATTTAGATAGTGTATTCTTCCCACATTAAGAATGGCATTTGGGGCCCACTTTGCTTTGCTTAAATGCCCTATGGTGCTGGGGGAGGTGGTGGGAGGAAAAAAATGAAAGAAAAATAACATTTTAAGCTTTTAGGCTACCAATTAGGCTACCAATCACTGTGTGACAACACTGTAGTCAATATGACTGCTCCCCAAGAAGGACGTATTTACCTATATACAACTCAGAGGATCCAGCACTGAGTCTTCGTTTTACACCTGATCACTTTTGCTACCCATGCCATCAGTAAACACCACCTCCTCCCCTTCAAAACACACATACACACTCTACTTCTCGCACTCACAGGTCCTGGTGATTTGTTACAGGAAGTATTAGAGATGCACATTACATCCTGTAAGCTACCAAAGTGACTGATTCTTCTCTGAAGGTCCTCTGGAGTAAACCAATTTCAGGATTTTAGAATGTTCTTGGAGGCAATCCCAGACAGGTGTAAGAGAACATGGGAACAAAAATAGTTCTTACTCAGACCATTTGGATATCTCTTGTTAAACATGCATATAGTCGTTTTGATTTCTTCTGGTGCAGTTTTACTATAAATACCTATATATCTAAGTTATTCGTTTATTTAGTGTATCTTGCTGAGCACAATTCAATTAGGTACCAGGTTTAAGGTTGGATTTGGGGAACACAAAGACAAGTATAAGTCATGATTCCCTTATCTCAGGGCTTTTCTATAAAATTGAAAATAACAATGAAAGGAAGGCTAAGAGACAAAGAAAAATATTATTTGTTGTTTCTTTTATTATGTTTTCATACACACTCAGATGAATATATACACTGCTATCAAGGAATAAGATGATGGCATTCTTGTCATAACATCCCTTTGAATCCAAATCACAATAAAATAATTTTCCTATAAATGGATTCCTTATATCATGAGCAATATATCAATGATATCCAAAAGGCTACTGGAATGTAATTTCTAAGCTGGGTGATGTTTTTGTCTATGTGATCTTTTGTTCACTGCTTCAGTACCTAAAATAGGGGCTGGCCCTAGTCAAATATTTTTGGTGAATAATTAAATGAAATGGAAAATATGAATTGAATAGCCAATGGAATGTTTGTATGTTATAGATGTTCTTAGTATGAATTACGTTTCCTAATAAAAGTATCTAAGATTTGTGCTGCCTACTTCTGATTAAATAGATAATAAAAATATTTTTTTCTTTTTCTTTCTTTTTTTTTCTTTTTCCAGGGCTGAGGACCCAACCCAGAGCCTTGCGCTCGCCAGGTGGGCGCCCTTCCGCTGAGCTAAACCCAGCCCCTCCAATAAAATATTGAGAGTAAGAATGTTTTAAATTAGCATGGAAATCACAAAGTAATTTTAGCAATTTCTAAAGTAATTCATGTTAAATTTTCAAACACAAATTTATTTTTTAATTAATTAAAAAGTTAATAGATACACCAAGTTCTGAATGTTATCACCACTTGAAAGTGGCCTAAGGAATATATCATATTCTGTTTCTCTTTGGTTAGTAATTTGTGCATATTCTTGAAGCATCACTTGCAAATATCCTAGGCTTAATCTCCTGTCTGCAAAGGAAGGAGAATAGGGATCTAATAGCAGCTTAAATATCATTTGTTCAGTTTCAAACTTTGAAAACACTTAAAAAAAGTTGAAAACTCCAGGTACCAGTAGCTCATATCTGTAATCCTGGCTATTCAGTAGGCTGAGGTCCAGAAGTATTGTGATTCGGAACCAGCCAGAAAACTCCAAAAATATTTCCAAAATAGCTAGCATAAGCCAAGTTGAAGGTAGAACTCAGGTAGTAGAGCACAAGCCTGCAAACTCAAGGCCTTGAGTTCTGATTTGATTTAGGTTCATAGTGAAATCCTGTGGGGAGGAAAGGAAGGGGAGGAGCCGAGAGAAGAGAAGAGAAAAGAAAAAAAATGATTAGTACATTTAGCACATCTTTAAAACAAGACGGATAGATAATAAATGAAAATAGTTCTTCCCTTTATTTTTTAATAGCCCTCTAAAAACATAGGAAACATGCTGAGCTATTTTCAGTTGTGAATAGATGGTAGCATTAAATAGCTATTCCCTTTTCAGTTATTCCCTTTTCAGTTCTCTTTCAGTCCTAAAAGAAGAAGAAATCTGCATGCCCTCTAATCCGCCTAACACTTGCTGAATTCTGATTGCTTTGTGGATGGTGAGTTTTGTTTGTTTTATGAAGAGAGATCCACTCAGAAATCTCAGCAGGACTCAGTATGTAGCTACAATTTAATAGAACTGCTTTCCTGAATTTACTTTTATGGCTATCTTCTATCAAGGCAAATGAGAATCATTCTCCATTTGGAATAATTATATCCAAGTATTTTCTTAAACAGACTTGAGTAAATCACAAAAGAATATTGCTAAGGTGGAAATACAAATTAGGATAATCACTGTAAAAATTCTTCAAAAATTTAAAAATAGAGCAACCCCACTACTAGCTATGTATTCAGAGGAAATGAAATCAGTATGTTAAAGAGATACTTGCACTTTTATGTTTTCAACAGCCAGGATATAGAATCAACTCCAGTGTCTCACAAGTATGTGAATGGATAAAGAAAATGTGGCATATGTACACAATAAAATATTTTAACAGGCTGGGATGGTTGGAAGGAGTATGTGGAGAGATGGTAGAGTAAGTCTGTAGTGTCTGTGCCGAAATATTTTTGAAAATTCTACAAGAAGACTTACAAAGTGATATGCAACGTAAGTCAACTGTATTTGGTCATTCCCCAACGTATGTATATTATACTTTAAAATGTATTGTGCATGCTAAATATATTGTGTCTTTTAAAAATTAAAAAAATAAAAATTATAAAAAGTAGTAAGCATACCTAACAATCGTGAGGTAGTGGGTTCAAAGCATCAATTCATACCCCACTACTACTCTCTCCTCCCCCCCAAATATAAAAGCATTATGCAAGAAAATAATAACTAACATTTATTGAGGAAACAATATATACTGTAGAGCTTTAAAAGTATTAATTCACATTGTTCTTGCTGTAGCATTATGAAATATATATTGTCATTCCATCCTCATCTGTTTGTAGACATCAGAAAACCAAAATGCTGAGTACTAAAATGCTGTTGAAATCCCATGGGAGAGAGCTAGGCTACAAGGCCAAGAACTCTTTCACAAAGCCCTTGTCTCCACTATCACACCAAAGACACCAAAAATGTCAAGTCAGTTCTAGAGCTTTGGATATGTTGTGTCACACTTTTCTCCCATCTTTGCAGGCAAGCTGTAACCTCCCTGGTCCCCATGTCCTTCAGTAGCCTCTGTCTTCCCTCACTCCAAGTACACGTATCTGGGTGCCACAGGAAAGGCTCAGTTATTTATGTGTCTTTAATATCTTTATTGATGACAAACATAGCATAAGCCTCTTGGGAAGAAGAGCCAGCCATATTACATCTTATACTTACATTCAGTAAACACACAGTTAACAGGATTTTTAAAGTATTATTTTAAAGAATAATGATGGATGCATTCACAAAAATAAATACTTTTGACAAAAATAACATTTCAGCATTGTAAACCCAACAGACGGTGTTAGTGAGAAAGAAAAATGTAAAAGGTAGTGATTCTGACATTTGAGTGAAAATTTTACTGAAAGACCATTAATTTATTGCTTTAGAAATATTTCTTTAAAATGCTTCAATGACTCAAAACAAAAGAAAGCATAATAGATTTAAAGTGCTCTTCAAGGAGAAAAAGAATAACATTATGGCTTGTGACCTATAAGACCTAAGTATAATTCTATCATCACATTCTTCTGTTATTGCCTCAGAATAATTCTATACTTAACGAAATTTCCACTGTGTGTGGCAGAGGCCCTGCAATTAACTGAGTCATGTACAATATTCATATTACCAGAAATATAATTTACATTTCTTGTATTTAGCAATATGAAAATTTAAACTTTGAAAACCTATTATAGACTAAATAAAATTTAAATGCCTGGAAGCTTGAATAGTCTTTCAAATATGGACATTGTTTAAAAGTTTCTTAAAGGTAAATTATTTGGAAAATATAGTAGCTGATAATTTCAGGAGTTATGACTTTTAAAATAACCACTTCTAAAAATAAAAACCAGGTAAATTGTTAAGCATTGCATTTCATTACAAGATCTTATCAAATTTTAAGGTGTAAAGGATTATAAATTCCACCTATTTCAACATCCTTTGTATATTCAAAATAATTTAAATACTGTGTAGAAAGTCAACATACAAGTAGCTTAGTTTCCAATAATCTCTTTATAAGTTGGCAGTTTTTGGTCTTGCAATGAAATACAGGTTGAAAGAGAAACAAACAAATGAAATGAGATTTAAATTCCCAGAATGGACTACAAATGCTTATAAAATGCGAGGGAAAAATATTCTATTATAGTCTTTGGGAGTAGTAGGTAGTCATCTAATTCAGTCAATGTCTATAGCTAAGGAAATGTATTATCTTGCTAATATAAAAAGCATAAAATATTAGGTAGTAGTAGATACAGCTAAACCTTTAATAAAAATAATTATGGTTTTCTTTTTAAAAATACTTTTATTATCCTTAGGTAGTTGTACAAAGGAGTTGCCATGTAACAAAGCAGTTTCTGAATACAATGCATCTTGATCAGTATCATCCCATCTTTCATTTTTCTTAATTTGGTAGAATATGCATTAACTGTTTTACTGCATTCTTCCCCTCCTTATTTTTTGTTTTTTTTTTTTTAAGACAGAAGAGAATATTAACAGAAATGTTTGAAAAGATTTCTAAGTGGAATTTCTTGACATATTTCAAGGGTTAGAGCTTTGTTTTGTCTGGCTTCCTCCTGTTATCCCTTCTATTGGTGCACCTTTCCTTTCTATCCGGTGTCACTGTGTAAGGAACTGTTCTGAAGCACTATTTTAGATCTCACTGACACTGGCTACTGTCATATCGCTTCTCATCATTATTCATTTTCTGTTAACTACATACATTTGATACATTTGATTGAAAAGGAAAAAAAAGCTCTATCCATGATCTCTGGAGTTTATTCAAGCCACCTGCCATTTGCGCTCAGTTCTTGTTACTCATAATCTCATGTTTGACATTACACTCTCCACTCAGTTTGCTAGGAATGACATCAAGTCTATGCCTACTCTCCCAGTCGAAGCTTGACTCTTGCTCCATGGTCTGTAGTTTGTAGTCAACAGACCTACCAGCTGCATGTAAGCAGTCATTATAAATGAGGATAGAAGATTATATTTCCTTAACAAAAGGTGTATATTAAGAACATGCAGACCAAATTTAGGGCTTTTTTTCTGGCTTTTGAAAGGAACAAGGAAATAGGAAAAGAATCACATGAAAAGCAAACAAACCTTAAATTAACTAAATGGGTAAGAGTTGGAAGAAGGTAGGGAGAAGGAGAATAGAAGGTATCTGTACTTGTAATAAACTAATTAAAGTAGACCTAACTGTTGTCTGGGAAGTGTGATACAAAAGAAAAAGTACCAAGTTAATGAAGACTAAGAGTTACTCCTTTATTCATCTAAGGTAGCCACAAAATTGTGTTTGGGGCCTGGGACAGGTGGGAAAGATGGTATGGAGTAGCTGGGACAGTCCCACAGGGAAAGGTTCAGAGAAGCAACAATCTGCTATCTTCACTTCTCTTGTCTTTTAGTTGAGCAGGGAGAGATGGTATATGTATCTAGTAAAGGCATGTATTGGGAAAAGGAAAGAAAAGCAGAAGGGGTTCTGCATCTCCAAGTGCTTTCACTGTACTGGTTTGCATGTAATCTGAGTTACCTGATCAGCCAGCCAGCTATTGAAAGTGTTCATACTGATGAATCCGTTAGTTGTCACAATAAAGTACTCAACACTGACTAAGAGCAGACACTTTAAAAGGACAATGCAGATCCTCAACAATAAGAGTTTTACTGAAATAAAGGAATATCAAACATGGTTTGATATTCACATATCATTATATTGTTAGGTCTTCACATATCATTACATTGTTACAGTTTGAAAACAGTGTAACTGTTTTGCTTATCTAGACTTATACGTCATGACTCATTGACTTACCTACAATTGGCAGTTTTGACTACTGTGTCAAACTTTGTAAAGACTTTGATTTCTTTCTTTGTAAGGACTTAATTTTCTATGTATTCCTTGCTTCCTCCTGCTCCCCATCTTTTTTTTTTCAGTTCCTGCTGTAATGAAGATCTCTAATAGTGGTAAAGAGAGATTTTCCCCCCCAAAATGTGTTCTTTAAATAAAATTTTAGGGAATGTTTTAACTGTTGACAAAAAGTAACAGCTAACCTGGGTTGGTGACTCAAGACTGTAATCCTAGCCACTTGAGAGGCTAAGATTGGAAAGGTGGTAGTTCAAGGCAGGCCAAGCAAAAAGGTCTAAAGTCTACCTATCCACCAGTAGTTGGGTGCAGTAGTACATGTAAGTAGGAGGATCACATGCTAGGCCAGCCATGGTGGAAAAATGAGACAATATAGAAAAATTTTAAAACACAAACGGATGGGGAGCAAGTCTCAAGTGGGAGAGCACCTGTCTAGCAAAAGTGAAGTCCTGAAATCAAACCCAAACAGCCAATCACAACAACAACCTAAACAATGTTTATAAGGGCAATCATAATTTTAGAAATTGATCAAGAGTCTCAAAAGTTTTTTGTAGGATTTGACCTTAGAGATTTCCTTCTAGGATATTATTCTAACTTCATAAACCATGAAGAATATTTATTAATTTACCACATTATTTATAAAACTGAAAATATCCAAATATTCAGTTGACTAATTCAGTTATATCACATCTACATAAGAGAAAATGTTCTATAAATATATAACATCATATTAAATGCTTATTTACATATTAAAAATAGAACAGGGAAAAACAGTCTATAATTTTTCTACCTAATTAAACATGGAAGGAATTTTGCTAAAATGTTAGCAGTAGTTAACTTTGAATAACAGTATTATATAATATTTTTATTTTCTTCTTTATACTTTTTAATCATTCTTCAAAATTTAAAAAATAGCCATGCATTATTTTTGGAAAAACATGGAAATTTAAATGTCATTTTGAACAAAGATTCTGTTTCAAAAGCAAATTTTGAAAACAAAATTGTGCTATATTCACCTACTTTTTGAAGAGAGAGCACTTAGTATGTAATCAGCCTATAGAGCTACATGCTTTGAGAATCTACTGTGTACCATATACATACATATATATGTATGTACATGATAGATATCTGATATGTTTATTACTTGAACACTTTAATTTGATGCTATAAGTTTAGTCTTTTCTTTCTGATTAATCAGTCCAGCATGCATCTGCATATAGATATGTACACATATACATATGTGTACATATATATATACTCTTATACTTCAGGAATCTAAGCAGTCTCAGGAATTTTGCAGTTCATGAAGTGACCCTGTAGGCATCCCTATCAGCACTGTAATCCCTGTTTATTGTCTCTGTGTAGCGCAGAAAGCTGGACCCACAAGCACTTATCCCAGGACCTGCTCACAAATCAAATCATTGAGGTTCCTTAGGGGACCCTCCACAACTGCAGCTTGCAGACATAGTACTCGGCTTGATCATCTCCAGACCCAAAATTCTCTCCACATCCCATCCCAAGGAAGAAACCACCCAGCCATGGCTCTCTTTCCACCTTTCACAATAGAAGGGCGTCAATTATTGACCACTTGAGAATATATTTTATTTTTGATAGTAGTTTTTCTGGCTTCAATCAATTTTCAGCCATTCTGCTCATTCCTGTCCTTCCTGCTACT